AAAAAATTCATTGCACTTTTCTAAACTCTAATCGTCTTGCAAGTGTTATCTTGTATGAATATTTAACATTTTGAGTCATTCAAGTCATTGTTTCCGGACTAATTTTGTATTAAAATGTAATTTCCAAAATACTTAGTGTATCTAAACCTAAGAAAAATGTAATACATTGTAGTTTTGGTGGTGGCTGCATTAGTTTTCTTTTTTTCCGGCTTCTTTCCCTTTATTTTTAACTGGTGATCCTGCCAGTAACACACTTCCTCGTCTAGGATGACAATGCTCACTCATTGCACTGTATCTATGGTACAGCAGCTTTATCCCCCTGAGGCAAGAAGTGTGTGTTTATACGGCTATACAGGGGTTTCATTAGAGAGACAGTCTGAAACCAACAGCTTGTGCTGAGCTCTCTTTTTAGAAATCTTATAATGCTTTATGCAACTAGTGCCATATGTGCACCTTGTTTTAAGCCATTGGAATAGACATTAAGACTTTAGAAAAAATAAAGTAAAAGGCCGAAGCATTATGGTGTTCCTCTAATTACATTTTAGTCACCCACCCTCATTGTCTTCCCATTCTCTAATCCTATTTTCTATTTTTCAGTTTGTCATTTTTGCTACTGAAAAAGTAATATGTAATGTTCATTTATATTTAATTACATACAAAGAATGTATTTAACAATAGTTATTCACTAATTTAGGCTTGAAAGGCCACTTTTGTCCCGTAATCAATGTTTTACTTGGGTGGAAAATTAATAATAGTAGGTCATGCCATGTAACACCTACGTTCCTTTTTAAATGTGAATGCAAACTGAGAACATATTGATGCTGGCTGCAAGCCAGGTGATAGCTGCAGTATGTTAGGTTAATGACTTATACATACACACAACTGATCTCTGACAAGCTGATTCCTATATTTAGCCTGCACAAAGTGTACATATTTATCTGATAAAATGTACGTGCTCATTTTTCGGCTGCTCCCAAGACGGTGGGAAGAGCACATTCGAAGTTACTGTCTTTCAATAACCCACATACCTAGGTTTATTACACTTTTCAGATTTTATCACATTTGAAGAATGTTTAAGTGGTTGTTAATTTTTACAGATAGTTTTTTGGTAAAATGAGTTTCAACTATATTAATAAAGTATCTTTTTTCTGTAATAAGCTTACATTTTTGTTATCTAATATGGTAACCTTACAACGTTTTGATATGACACTTTTAAAAGGAGTTAGAGCTGGTGTGCGACACTGCAGCTGTCGCATGTCATTTCTATAGATCAAGAGATTAGCAATGGTGTGCCTACTGAGTCACTGCTCCCCTCAGGGATTCCCCCTCCCCTTTGTTCCTCCAGTTCTCATTGGAGGGACAGACCGGGGAGGGGGCAGACACAGCTGACTCTGGCTCTAAAGATTTTAATAAATCAACACAGCACTAAATATAAATGACATAGATGAAAACGCAAAGTGAATAACTCGAATAAATATCCTGAATAGATAAAATAAATAAAATTATCCCCAAAACATTTTTGGGATCATTTTATTAATTTATTCAGGATATTTATTCAACGTATTATTCACTTTGTTTTCATCTATTTAATTTATATTTAGCACTGTGTTGATTTATTAAGATTTGCAGAAGCTTTTAGCTCCCTTTACATATCCAAAAAGGTCAGCCCTGCGTGCTTCTTTTGTAGATCCTTGTCATATGTCATTTTTACCAGAGACCCACTGTTTTCAGCTGGGAACTGCACTGTGTCCATACCTGAAGGGGTTAACAGGGCTGTTGCAGAAATTGGTTTTAAAAAGCTGAAAATAGCCTAGGAAGGCTTTGTTAACGTGTCTACAGAATATGCCGAATACTGAGCCAAGATATAGCAACCAGTGAGCTAAGCAGGTCGTGGGAACAAGGCTACAGCCAGCGTTGCTGAATTCCATTGGCTCTGGGTATTGTTAAAGCAGTGGAAACAATACAAATATGAGCGCTGTAATTACTTATGTATGTCTCTTCATGGCTTTTGATCAATGTGTTGGCAGGGGCGTTCTAAAACACAAGGAACTTGTGGACTGGCATAGGCAGAATAGGACTTTCACAGGGCTCCTTCTGAAACAGAGATATGATTAGTTATTTGATATTTAGTTCATAGATAGTGTTACAGGAACACAGCTAAGAGCTGTCAGAAGGGGATCTAGACATACCTGCATATGTGAACTGGTGTCAGATGACAAGTCATGTATATGCTGAAAATGCTGTAAGGCAAACCAAAGTCCCCCCAACAATACTTCACCTACTTTTAAAAAACGTGCAAATGCAGAAACAGGCATGGAAGCCAACAGAATAAACTAATGCCCATTACTCATAACTGATTGCCTTTTGGAACATTTCCTGTTTCGGGCCCCAATTTCTCTGACCCTTGTTCCTCCATAGCTGTGCCTCTTGTAAGTCTGATATGCAGATCTGTAAATATAAAAGTATCCAAAATACAGTATGACATCTGGCAAAAGTGTTTCTCTAGCCTTGGAAGATGGCCCCCGACTGATTCCACTTTAACCCTAATGCATTCAATAATAATTCAAAATAATATTGCCAATTCATAAAGTGTATCTAAACCTAAAAACAAAAAGTCATATATTGCAGCTTACCAATCTTTAAATGTCGCTGCTGCATTAGTTTGATCTTTTTAGGCTTTTTTTCGACATAGTGACCCAGCCAGTAAAAAACTTCCTGTCTTAAGGTGGCCATACACCTTACGATTATCGTACAAAAAACTTTTCGTCCGATGATCAAACCGTCTTATGATTGTCGTACGGCAGCCCCAGCCTGACCCGATTATCGCAAGGTTCAATCAGCAGTAGTTAAAAAAAACACCTGGGCGAATTGCGGTAATCGTCCGCACGTATTTTCGTTTGCGCATGAGCAGTGTTAATCGTACGACTTTTGACGTACGTAAACGCCACCAACCATGCGAAAATCGTACGATCGACTGAAGTTTCCCAACATGCAGGAAAGACAAAAGTCGTACGATTGTACAGGACTGGCGGTTGCACACTCCCCATACACCTTACGATTGTCGTACGGAAAGTCGATCACATACGATTATCGTAAGGTGTATGGGCACCTTAAGGGTGGCTCCACTATGGAGGAGTAATGGAGCCACCCCTGGGAAGCAGGATTGTCATCCTGTGGAGAGGGTAGAGTTAGATGCTCTAGCAGATTTAGATGGACCGACTAACAAATTAAATCCAAAACTCAGCTAACACTTTTTATGCAGTTACAGCAACAGATTTGTTTTTCTTTTTGGGATAAAGGTTTTACATTAGTGAATAAAAGTTTACCATTGTATGCCCCCATTAGTGTGAAATGGTTTGTCTCAACCCTCTATCTGTCACTTTTGCTGGATAGCTTGGTCTGTTAAATTAAATTGAAATAACATATTTACTGGCCGTATCCCCATGTAAAAACAAAGAAAAAAAGCCTAAAAAAGAAGAAAAATATTGCAACCACCACATCCTATAATTGGTAAGCTGATTATTTTATTGGTAAGCAATTATTTCAAATTGCAATAGCCAATAGCAGACAAGCTATTGTGCCCGCCCACTGAGCAGGAGGCAGACATGAGAGATCTTTGCCCTGGTTCACACCTAGGCGTATTGCATATGCGCGGTTGTCGCGCGTTTTTTTACAGTGATTCGCGGTAAAAAAAAATTGCGTGACAAACGCGAGTTTCCGAGGGCTACTTTGCTGTATCCCAATGGAAACGCGCAACAAAAACGGCCCAAAGTAGTACATGTACCTTTTCAGGCGTGGGCCGTTTTGTAGCGTGTTAGGGACGGGCTGAAATACGCCAAGGTGTGAGCCAGACCCATTGAATACAATGGGATTTAGATGTTTGAGCGTTTTGTAGAGCGTTCGTCGAGCGTAGAATGCGCTACAAAACGTTCAGGTGTGAACGAGGGCTTTCTCTCTCAGGTCTGTTCTCCTGCTCAGTAGATGTGGTTTCAATAGCCAGCCTGCTATTGGCTATTGCAATTTGAAATAGCAGGCTGGCTATCGAAACCACACCCACCAGAGATCAGACCAGAGAGAGAACTTTCACTTCCTGTCCTATGACCACCCTCATTGGGAAAGTCTCACCAAAAGCAGACAGCAAACAAACTTGATAGATGCTCTAATCTGTCCTCATTCTAATACACAAAGGAGTTCCTATGGCTAGCTGTAGCCTTACTGGGGAGTTTTCAACTCACTTTTGGCATGTGTTGATGGGCTTTTGTTCACGTCAGACGGGCATTGCATTCTCAAACGCTATGGGACTGCAAAACCGCTTGGAGCAGGTCAGAAGGAGGTCAACTGCAGGTCTAATGCATCTGTTAGGGCCTGTTCCCACCGAAAGCGTGTGCGTTCCAGAGCGGTAGCTGCTGGAACCCACTTTGATCGCTAAGAAACTTCTCCCCGTGTTTTGGGGCGTGGCGTTGAATTCAATGGGACCGCTTCCACGCCCCCCCACCCCCGCCCGGCGTGTGACCGAACCGTGGCAAAACTTTGCCAGCGTTGCGTTCCACTGCAAACGCAAAAAATAGAGCAAGCCCTTTGTGCCCTCACAAAGTTTTGCCGCGCGTTCGATCCCACTGTGGGCGGGGGGGGGGGCGTGGAAGTGGTGCCATTGAGTTCAATGCACCGCCACGCCCCCTCCGGCCCCAAAACGCGGGGAAAAGTTTCTTGGCGATGCATTCCAGCAGCTACCGCTCTGGAACGCACCCGCTTCGGTGTGAAGTAGGCCTTAATGAATTCTGAATGGTCTCAGAAGCAACTTAAACGGATACCAAAGTGATGCCATCAACACAAGTCCAAAGGCCACTGACACATCTGTCTTGAGTCAGTCTCTTGTCACTTGGGCAGGTAGTAAGGAAAATCATCCCTAACAGGGACACAGTTTTGATTAGGGTTCCACTAATTTTATTTTGTGCTAAACGCCACAAACACAGTCTGACAAATATAAATAAAAACGCTGTTAGAATTATACATATTTTTAATGAAATAATTGTGTCAGCCCGGAAACCAAATGACATGGACACTATCACTTATAATAACAATGATCAAGACAAAACATTGATAATTTATCCAAAAAAGGCACACTTTAAGTTATGTAACGTTCAAACCTCCTATGCCAAGAAGTTCTTTTTATTTTAAGCCTGATTAACACGGTCAAAAACACTTTCAGTAATAATCCTGTTATGAGTTAGCAGCAGCATAATCAACACCAAAAAACTTCATATCAAAGCCCGAAGGGCTCTGCTGTCATGGCATAGAATGCCAGTAGGGATGTGGCCTTGCATTCTACTAGATGATTAAGGAGGAATGCTGTTGTGAAGACTCTCCAACTGTTCCTCATGAAATTTAATCTTTTCTTCCAGGTCTTTCTGCTCAATCAAGAAATAAGTCTTTAACCTCACATAGAGTTTGTAGCCCTCAAGCTGGGCCTCATTTAGATATTTGGCCAGGATTCCTGTTACCACTTGCTCTCTGCGGTCCAGGTTGTCCTTTAAATCTTTGGCGTCCTCTCTCTGCCTGGTTAGGAGACTATGACGTTCCTTCAGGGATTGCTGAAAAGTAAAACATAAAAACACAAATCAGACATGTATGACAACATGGTCAACAGTTTATGGGTTATATGTGTATTGGTGTTGGGTTATGTTTAATTATGTTATACTGTGTAACCTGTTCATCAAAAGACTGTCAGCACCACCCTTCGTTAGCTCCCTTTGTACTCTGAAGGAGCTCAGGACAATTACATTCTCCTGCGTATGCCGGGCCCCTGCTATGACTCTTTAGCAGGGTTGTGCAGTCAGAATGTCTAAGGAGGGGAGGGTGGATGTGATGGGATTATATTCTGATCTGATCACATTATGCATAAAAGGTTGCACAGTTGCTCAATAAATCAGAGTGTTTGTTTCACCCTACACTCGGTCTCGACTAGTGACTGGGGAAACTGCAAGCTAAAGATCAGCGGGTTGCAATATCTCCTGAGCAAGGAAGAATACAGCGGTGGACATACTCATCCTGAGTACGGGGGTCTGTCACAACATGTACAGAGTAAAATATAATAGTAAGCACTATTGACTTTCTACAGTAATAAACTAAAATGTGAAAAAAGACCAATCAGAAGCATGCAAAATCACCTGTGCATGGTTCAGGGCAGACTTTGCACACTTCTTAAAAACTAATTGGAGGACTTTTTATACATGTTTGACATATTGTTTGTGATATTCAGCATACGCAGTTTGAATGCTTCTATAGGATTTTTAATTTGATAAAATCAGATTTTTAGCATTAAATGGTTACACAATAAGGGTTGATTTACTATGAGGAAAAGAGTCTTTTCACAAAGTTCAGTTTGCAAACTGAACATTACTTGACTTTAGCTTCCAATAAGATGAAGCTGAATCAATGAAGAAGAAGCAAAAAACTTGTGCAAGAAAGTTTAGGGGGGGGGGGGGTTTCAGCAGCATAGTCAGTGCTGTCAACCCAAAGCAGTAGTTAGGTGCTGCTTGACAAGCTACAGGCTTGTAAATCAGCAGTGACAACATTTACAGCTATGTCCCCGCAAAATTTTGTCATCCCATTGAAGTGGAAGCAGACACAGCCTACATGAGGATGACAACCTGCTCTGAATTCATAAACAGCACAGTAGCTTTGTCAGCCCATCAAAGGAAGCCACGAGATGGAATTCAATGGCAGAATTACCAGGTAAGACTTTTCAGGGTGACTAAGGGAAAACTGTAACTTGGGTCTGCGATTGTAAAAAGATTAGGAACCCCTGTGTTAATGACAGATTTTGGAACATGTCTCGCCATGCTCCTTACCGTAAAGCCTCTTGAAGAATGGGTGCTGAAGTGACTGCGGATGGCGCAGCAGAAACAAGAGGTCACTAGCACACTGCAGGAATGCGTCCCAATGAACGTCTTTTTATTGATGCATATTGTCACAGAGAAAGCATTGTTTCAGGGCCTCTCAGGGTCCCCTTCATCAGGCTCATACTGAGAGAGAGGAGAACCCTTTGCATTTGCTGTGACAATATGAGTCAATAAAAAGAAGTTTGTTGGGACACATTCCTGCGGTGTGCTAATAACAGATTTGGCATTCAAAAAATACACTATTAGCTTTCGCACAGAGGTTTCAGGCATTGAATTTGAGCACTGGATGGCCATGTTTAGAGTTTGGGTTAGGTTTTAGGCCATTAGGTGTTACGATTCAAGTTTATGCATTATTGCAGGGTCTGATTTGCAGTAAGGAATGATATAGAGCTGAAGGAAAGGTAGACAAAATGTTTTTTTTTTATTTGCCCCAAAAAACACCAGGCTATTACCACCAGAAACTAGCATTCCTCTGTAAATAGTCTAATTATAGAACATGACTATAGTACAACCATAACTATTATGGCAGGTCAAATACCCACTAGTCCTAAATAAAGGAATGAAGATTATCACCAGTGATTATGTATTATATTATTAATATTATTCGGTTTCTATGCGGAGTCATCTCGCCTCCCTGAGTGTGCCACCATAGAAAATTTGCACTGGTAAAATATAACAGAATTCATAATAAAACCCAAATAAAATGTTCAATTTCTCCAAGTTACACATAGCAGGAAGTAACTTCCTGATGTTGAACTGTGTGGAAGGTTAGAATAAAAAAGAATTGGAATTTACAAAAAACATGGTTTCCCACAAAAGGAAAAACGTATGAAATGAAAAACGAATACACAGTTACTTGTATCTGATGCTAATTACATCGGATTCTCCCTGTATACATTTATTATGATTTAGCACTGCCCACTGGTGTGCGTATTTATTACTGCAACTCTGGAATACAAACTACAAAAGAGATTATGGTCATATTAATCATACAATGAAAAGGAGAACCAACAAAGCCTGTACAACAGGGGACTCAAATTCACTTGAGGGCCATTGGACACATTTTCTTCTTCCATGGGGGCCACTTGCCAAATTCCATAATATTTCAAATATGCGTCAAAATAAAATGCAACTATATACGGTACCAGTGCTAATGTCTGCGTGTGTTTAGAATGTCAGTATATGTATTTCTGATGGTTTCTTTGTATACTTTAGTATATTTTTTTGTCATGGTTTGTGTGTATTGTCAGGATTTCTGTGAGTGATGTCGGTATGTGTGTTAATGTTTCAGCGTGTGTCATATCAGTATGTATAAATGTGTATATGTGTGCGGTTTTTTTTTTCTCCACAGGTTTTAATTTTAATCAAAGAGAACCAACAGATTCACTCACACACACACAAAAGTACACACCCACACAGAAATACACACACTAATACACACATGTAAAGCCAGCACACCGCATGTAAATCATATGTGGTACAATTACATGTGGTTAGACGCGTTCCTGGATGCATGATTGATGCGCCAGGGAGAATGATTGTTTTCACATGTAATTGTACCGAATACGATTACATGTGGTTTGCCGGCGTTTACATGCAGTGGCTGACACCTGATCGTTAAGAGAACAATGGGATAGAAAGGTTACCCCATAGTTCTCTTTTAAGGGTCACGGGAGGACATATACTAGCGTCCTCCTGTGACCCAAAGCTCATTATATAGCGAGCTCCAGCTGGCTCGCCGATACCGGTGCCGTGTGCCCCAATTATCAGGCAGCGAATCATGACCCATCTCCCGGCTTCCTGATTGGTCTTTCAAAAAAACACCGCCTTCCCAGGCAATCAGGAAGCCAGGCTGCCTAGCAACAAGTAAAGATGTCTTCCTAGCCAATCAGGATGCCAGGCAGCATGTCATGACCCGCCTCCCTGATTGCCTAAGAAGTCGGCTTCTCTAGTTGCTAGGCAGCGTGGCTTCCTGACCAATCAGGAAGCCAGGAGGTGAGTCATGACGTGCCGGCCGGCTTCCTGATTGGCTAGAAAGCTGGGTTCAATTGTTGCTAGGCAGCCTGGCTTCCTAACCAATCATCACCCGGCTTCCTGAAGGAAGCCGGCTCTGTGTTCCCTTGGCACTGCAATTCAGAGGGAGATCGCCCTCTGACTGGAAGTTCCAGTATCGGAAGTATCGGAGTATTTGGGCGAGTATGAGTGCTCAAATACTCGGTATCGGCACCCATACCGATACTAGTATCGGTGCATCTCTAGTTACTGTAAGCTTTTAATTACATTGATTTGTTTAATGGTAGTGTGAGGCACTAAATTAATATATAAATGTTGGTGAGCAGTTAATAAACAGAGTTTGCAATAGCTTAGACAGAGTGTGATGAACCCTGTGAGAAGAGTGGTTGACCATGGAGTGGAGAGGAATATAAAAAAAGCCACCTGCTAACATCCATCCCAGGCAAATATTGTGGAAAAACTACAAAAATAAGTAATTTCTGAACATATACTGTAAGACTGTATGCCCACAGGCCCGCCGTCAGGTGGGTACGGCAAGGGGCGCAGGAAGCCTCCAGGGCCCGCCCGGGACCCATGCATGAGTATCGGCCAACGGTGAAGGGCGAGGGCGTGGCCGGGCCCCCGCAGCAGCAGCGGAGGCCTGGCCCTAGCTGGGGCCCCATCC